TCCTCCTCCACCCCTCACCCACTCCCTACTCCTTCCTCCACCCCTCTTCACCCACTCCCTGCACAGATCTGTATGGACTGGTGCTGTTCCTGGATGCAGAGCCCTACTGCCAGTCTCAGTGGTACCGCAGACTCATATCACAGCCATATCACCAGGGACACGCCACACCCAATGTCGACCTCTTCTCCTCTCTCATGTGGAGGAACAGCAAGGACGACGTCGCTCATGAGGTAATAATGAGGTAATTAATTACCAGCAGGAGGAATATGTGAATTTGCTGATGAGCTTGTAAAACAGGCCTGAAAAACTCGAGAAGTATATACCGTCACCAATATACATTTAACGGAGTAATAAGCTAATTTTTCACATACTCGCTTTACTTATGTAGTCACATGGCCAACTAAGTGAAAAGTGTTAATACATGTGAGTGTAGGATGTGTGGTGAGGGAGGTGTGGATGAAACTGAAATGAAATGCTATCAGTGCAGAAAGTGAATGTATACACATGAGTCCCTTACAAACTGAAAATGTGGGTTGTACTGACTTGTCCTATAACAGTATATATACCAGTTCTAAAGGTGTACATACAGATGTACATGTAAAACCCAAATTGTCGATAAGACAGTGAGCAAGACCTTAAGTGATATTACATTGCCACTGAGAACTCTGCGTTGGCATTGCTGCACGTCAATTGATAAGTCGCAGGTTTCAGCTCTTGGTAGACAAACCTATGTATGATGAAAATGCTCTAATGAAACAACTATAACAGTAGGCTGTTTTGGACTCTCTATATAATATACCTGAATCCGTTCCTGTTGAGCAGCGTTGCTTTAAGCTTCACGATTTTGGCAGTCCTTCGATTTTCCTCCTCTGTTTCTTGCCAGCAGGTACCTGTAGTAGGTGTAGGTACAGTATGTTATGTGTGTATGTACATTGTATGTACGTGTATGTATGTATGTATGTATGTATGTAGCCAAGTGGTGTTGATACTACACCTAATAGTGAAGCTGTAACTGATCAGAGGTTGGTTGTTGGACTAATGGTGGCCAAAGGGCGCATATGTACCTTGGTTGAGTAGTCCCAGCAATTCCCTGGGGATTCCCCTATTCCTCCTCTCCTCCCCTACCACCAGCAGTGCCCCAGGCTCACCATGATGTAGGACTGGCTGCAGTACCACTTGCTCATCTGGTTCACTTGGACCCTTCTCTTCCTTCGGTCCTAACACGTGTAATAGCAATAGTGCGTAGTAAAATACGTACAAGCGCCTGCCCTTTATGAGCAGTCTCAGCACTCTAGAGAGGGAGTAGCTCACTTCCCTTCTACTCTCGTTCACTACTATGACCTCAGCCTTATTCTAGAGTTTTCCTTCCCTTATATAAAGTGCAAGCCTTGTCTCTGCCGTAGTCGTTGTAGTACACGCTCTCTCTAGTTGTGATCGGGCGCGAGAAATGAAAACAGTGCGTCGAGTCGCTCGCTATCTCGGCAGTTATAGCTAGTACTCTTACTCACTTGCTAGCGAGCTGTGCCATCTGGATCTCTGGCAAAGATAGAGTGACACTGCGTCCACAGCGACTACACACACAGCCCACTATAATTTCACAATCACCCCGGTCCACATTCCATGCGAACATCAGAATCCGTATTTTTCTGATGTTCGCATGGAATGTGGACCGGGGTGATTGCGAAATTATAGTGGGCTGAGTCAAAGAACAACAACAGTAATTTACTCAATTTATGCATGGCCTCGTTTGGGGTCATTAAATCACGGTTACTTTTCATTGTCTCTAACCCTCTTGCATGTACTTATAACAACTGCCAGTCTGACCTTCATTTAGTAAACTCTCTATTTTTATAACAATGAAGAAAGAACCCCGTTTGAGCACATGTGTGATGTGTGTTTGACTCTGTGGTGCCACAGCTGCAGCTACCGGAGCAAACAGAGCAGACCCACTGGTTGACGTTCAGCCTCGTGGAGAAGTATTTCTATCGCAAACAGCGGGAAATGTGCCAGACTGAGGCGAGCAAGGTATGTATGTATATAACATGCTCATTGAGGTTGTTTTCAGCTTAACAGCCACGGACACATAAATGTGTCCGGAGCCTTCATAAGTCCATAAGAATTTACGTATATGGGGTTATAATACTAGGTGCTAATACTAAATTTCTTGTTTATTTAAGCAGATATCTATGGCATCCGAAGGGTTAATCTAAACATACCACTGTACACGTGCTACAGGTCCTTTCTCGACTTGGTCACAACTACACGCTCAGCAGCCTCACACAAGACACAGTGCAGAAGGTAAAAAAAACATTGCATCATTATATATCTTTCCTTGTATAAACTACGTGCTCTCTCCCTCCTCCATATCTATTCTTCCTCCTCGCTTTAAATATCTATTCTTCCTCTCTCCCTCCTGCATATCCTTTCCTCCTCTTCGCTTGAAATATCTATTCTTCCTCTCTCCCTCCTCCATATCTATTCTTCCTCCTCGCTTGAAATATCTATTCTTCCTCTCTCCCTCCCCTCCATCCCTCCTCCATATCTATTCTTCCTCCTCGCTTGACTCGCTCCTAACTGACTGACACACACCACACTCTCTCCTCTCCCCTCTCTCTCTGTCTCCCTCTCCCACCCTCTCTTCCCCCACTGTTCCACTAGATCATGACTCCACTCCACTCTCTACGGAGGGCGTGCTGTCATCCTCAGATGGTCCGCAGAGGTGGATACATCCCCGTCAACCACAAGAAGTGAGACCAATGTGAACATTGCAGAATTGACATATGTATGTCTGTTTTGTACCTTGTTCTACGTGTGTGGATCACACCTGTAGCTCTAAATAGCCTCATGTGGTGTGCATATGCTCGCCTAGACTGCAGAGTGTCGTGGGTTCGAATCCCACCTAAGGGCAGCTCTTCTTTTTTCCTTGGAAAAAAGAGCTGTCCTGGGTGTAGTTGACTTGTTTGTTGTGCCTTTGCCTTTCTAGCTCGTTGTTTCCACATTTTTTTGCAATTTCACATATTCACCAATGATGTCAACATCTATTTTGAGGTAAAATCACTCACTGGCACCTGTTAACTATTCTGTTTCAAGGTCCCTGACGATGCCACAACTGCTAGAGAAACTGACAGTCCAGGCCAAGCTGGAGGCTAGGGAAGGTCTTCGCAAGTCCATCCTCTCACTGAATGGTCTTGCTGGTCTCTACATCTTGAAGCTTGAGGTACTGTAAGTGCTGGCTTCGTGTACATGGGCATATACATACATGTATGTAATATACAGTTGAACCTCCGAACAAGGGGCACTATGGGGCCAACAACTTTTTGTCCCTATCTCGGAGGTCAAATAGTACACTAAAGTATTAGCATGTGGTTGAAACAATAGATAGGTCGTCCCTATCTCGGAGGGTCTCTTATCGGAGGTTCCACTGTATACAGTATATGCCATTGTACATGTACAGTTTTGATATCTGTTCTTTACCGTCAGTGGAGAAAGGCACGCGAGACTTATGAACAGGCAATCAGCATGTGGAGGGAGTACAAGGAGAAAGAGGTATACATATTGTACTTGTATTTGTTTTGAAAGACATTAATATACGATGTTTGGAGTGTTGAAATTGTGTCAACACTCTATGTGGTTCTGATGTTAAAGAAACGTAGAATCCAGGGTAACGTGCTTCTAATATATAACATAGTGGGATTTCTAGGTCCACCGACGATTGCAGAACTTACTGGTAAAAAGTAAACCGCAACAGTTTGTCAAACAAAATTCACCAACTGGCGATCCTTTTCCCTACTCACGAGTGAATGGAGAACCACGTGCGATCGATGTCGTAGAAAAACACTTTCGCAATTATGCAACTTTTTTGGGCGAAAGTGCGAACACGGCCAACTGATGTATGTTGTGCACTAAAATGGCAGTATTCACAATAAACTCTTGAATCTGTGAAAATTTGCGAAAGGTACAGTATAATTGTACGGTATATGTATAATTTTGCAGCTTTTTGGCGAAAAAAGTATTGCAAGCAATGTCCACTGATGTACATAAACGAAAGTATTAACTTTCCTGTATCCGTGAAATTTGCTGTTGTAAGTATGGTACTATGTTATATGGTACGCAGGTGGAGTGTGATAGGCTCCAGAGGATCCATACCCTAGAGAACCTGGCCTGGTTACTGGAGCAGGGCCACTGCACTCCAGAGGAGCTCTCGGAGGGGCCGTGGAGGAATGCTGCCACTCTCAGAGAGAAGGTGAGTAGTACTCATCAGTGGAACCCTCTCTGCGGACACCTTTCATGAGGGCACCTGATCTTTTCTTTCACTAAAGTGCAAACCCTCGGCTAACTGCGCCTGCGCGGTACCGCTAATTGATGGGCTGGGCCTATTAGTAGGTGTTTACTCGTGATCTTCCACTAGTAGCTCGCAGAGAGTCTGACACAGGGCTAGCTACAGTAGTAGATAGCATGCGGAAGTCGTACACGCCAAGGCCACTGTCTAGTGCTTTCAGTGGTCTCCTCTTTTTCTCCTTTCTAACATGAAGCGTTCAGTTTTCTTGTTAACACTGCACCGATGTAGGCTGGGGAGCTGAGGGCACAGTTCCTGGGGAAGACAGAGAGTATGGTGCACACTGCAGCTCTGGCTGTGATGACGTGCAAGAGGGCCACCAGAGACTCCTGCAGAGGGGGTGTGGCTGTTTCGTCTTCTTCGTCTGGTGGTCGTGGGAGGGACACTTCTCGCCAGGACAATACTGCTCTCCAAGACAGCACTGCTAGCACTGCCCTTCAGGACACAGCTAATCAGGACAGCACTGGGGTTAGTTTTGTCGGCCAAATGAATGGCTTTCAACGATTTTGCATGCAAAATAACATGGTAGTGTAAATAAGACATCTCAGGAGGCCATTGCTTCCGAGAGTGATACGTAGTTATCATCAAGTCACCTCTTGTCAACTGCAGGACAGCTCCCAGCCTGCCAATCAGGATGCCACTTGCCAGGAGAGGGAGTTCACCAACCCTGTGTCTATGGATACAACTGGAGACTCCAGTGAACACATCTCCACTGCTGCTATCTGGGAGAAGGCTGATGAGACATCTGCCATGAACTTGGTACGTACGTACGTACGTTCCTGTGTACTGTAGGTATGTACATATGTAGATTTATTTTTGTAGCGTAACAGAGTAGCGAGTGTCTCACTCTTACAACAAATTTTACAGGGTCATCTTAAAGTTTTGCACGCACGGATTTAAGTTTAACAAGGCAATATCAACAGCAAATTTTGGGGGCAGAGAGAGTTTTCTAAGCAGCAGGGATTTAGGTTTTACATGGCGATCGTATCTTTTCTCCGCAACGTTCCTTGTCAATTTGTGTCGCAAGAACCTGGCTCCTCCAAAAGTAGTTAATCGTGTCTCTCTTGCAGTTGGATTGGGTTGGTGCAGCAATTAAGTGGGTGGAGAAAGGAGTGGGACCAGACGTTATGGAGCAGACTCATGGGTACCATCAACTCTCATATTCTGGACTCCTCCCAGCTAATGCTGGGTCACGAGGTTTCAGGTCGTATCACCGACGTCTCTACTGTCGATTTCATCGCCGCCTTTCATCTCAACAAACTCGAGGTTAACAACTTCCTGTTTGTGAATGCAGTGTGTAACTGCCAATATATGTAGCAACACTTTTTTTCTTGATTGTGTTACTTTATGTTAGTTTTGCAAGAGTCTAACACATCTCTGTAGCCTTGTGCCTCCACTGTAACTAAACAACGTCGTTCTGCTTCATAGTTCTGGCATTGCACACAAACTTGTATCTACATCTATCTACCTATGGCTGGTATGCTATGAACTATAATTTCATGTGTGCGTTTTTGAACAGCCTAGGCTTCTGTATTAACTTCATCTGAGGCTCAGATGCAATTAAGTTTCCCATCATCTGAGCCTAGGTTTCGGTACCTGAGGCTCGGATACAGTTATAGGCCCACTCACGCGCTCGCCAAACTTTTCCTGTGTCCACTCATTGTTGTTGCCCATACATCAGGAGGCCCGAGTGGAGAGTCTGCGGAGTCTCCAGTCTCTTCTCCCTCCTCCGTCCCAGTGGGAGGTGGAGCAGGCCTACCGCTGCCACCTGGCCCTCTCCAGGGAGGGGGAGGGGAGGAGGAGACGTGTGACAGGGCTGCTGGCCTGCGACGTCTGTAAAGCAGAGAGTGTGTTAGTCCAATACGGCTCCGAACTCTTCAGCCACTACTCATACACTAACAGGTACATACATACATAGGCGAGTTGTCTGAAATTTGTGAAAGACATACATATTTTACGTACATATAACCGTTTGCCAGGCTTGGGCGAGGACTAAGACTGGTTATCAGTTCATGCATGCGTACAGCAAGTGTCTACATGATGATGATGATAGTAATGAAAGTCCAATAATAGTCCTGAGCTTGGTTTCAACGTACATACATGTACTGATATCATTGTATTGTGTGTACGTAGTATGGGGCAGGAGCACGGAGAAGGAGCTCGTGGGGCCCACGCCTTTGAGAAGATTGTCCGTTCCTTCCTCACCTTCCTTCGTCACAGACGTACGTACAACCTACTGTATGTATACGTATGCAGTGATATATTAGACCCTGTGTTGTGTAGGTGCTCCTCGAAAGATCCTGGACGCAGGAAAAACCCTCGTGGCCTACATTGAAGCTGTCAAGAAAGAGTATGACGTACGTTCCTTTAGTCTACATGGCGGCGTGGTAGCTACACCTTTTTAGTGGAAGTATATATTCGTACAAGTACAAGTGCATGCAGACCTATAATTACACAGTGTGCCCCCTTCCTGTACTCCCCTACACCTCCATAGTCAATGTTTCAATGCCTCTCCTCCTATCCTCTCTGAAAGCCTTCCGCAGTCCTTATGCAATGCTGCAACTCCTCTTCACTCCCTCCCTCCCTCTCATCCGCTCTTCTCACCTCTCTATAGACGCTCCTAGTCTTAACCCTTTGGACGCCATGGGTATCTGCTTAAGTAAGCAGAAATTGATGTGTAAAGTACTAGTGTCTAGTATCATATAAATTCTTATGGACTTATGGAGGCTCTGGACACGTTTATGTGTCCGTGGCTGGTTAAGTGTTAATGCTAATGCTTTGTACCTCTCTCTACTCCATCTCCTCTCCCCCCATCTCCTGTAGGCTCTCCGTAGTCTGTGGCAGAGTCTGGGTCACAGAGTGTCGCAGTATGATGAGCTGAGACTGGCCACCTCTCGCATGCGCTACATGACGCCCAGTGAAATGACGGACGGTGGTATGGCAGACGCATCAGCCGTCCACCCAATGTTCTGGACGGTCAAGATAGACGTGTTTGAGAACGAGAGGGTTCTGGCCGGGAACGAGCTGACCAGGTCTCTGGGTCAGGTTGTCTACCTCAAGAACCTGGCAAAGGTCAGAGTGTACATATCCTCCATTGCCTACTTGGTATTTCACAAAGTATATGAATAAAGCAGCAATGACGAGGCAAATTTCGATGCTGTTCTTCTGAAACAACTGAGTGAAGTATGAAAGCCTACTCTGGGTTCTTATCCCATGTTGCTTTCTGCATGCACTCATGTATGTACATTCTAAGGCACATTTATAAGGACAATTAACCAACAGGATAGGGCTATGACAGTTTTTCTGTATAGTATAGTAGCAGTATCTAAGAGTAATGTGTGCATTTCCCACGAATCAGCAGACTCCAGTGAGTGACAGTGATTGTGGGAGCTGTCCAATATGCACTCGTCTGCTGGGCAAAGAGATTGATGAGGTATGTTGATACTTCAACTACAAATGCCATTTGGGCTTTCTCTGTTAGTGGGCACGACTGGCTTTATGCTCGTGCCACTCTAAACCTAAAGCCGCCTATACTTGTACTTTGCAGGCCCAAATGAGATTTTTTAAAACCTCTGTATAGATTATGTTCTTGAAACCTGAACATTGGTTTCACCTCTTTCCCTCCCTTTGTTCGCAGTGGGGCATGTTGCCGTGCGGTCACTCTCTGTGCATGGAGTGTGTCCTGGAGTTGACTCGAAGAGCGTACTACACCGTCTGGCAGATCAGAGGAGGCGGCTCGGCGAGGCTCTCCTGCCCTCTCTGCCGCTTCTCCTTCCTCTCCTCTGAGATCAACACCGTCAGACCCACCGAGCCTGAACACATGGTCGGTAGCCACTCTCTTTAACAGTTTTGTATGTGTATGTCTCTGTGTAGTTTTGTAGTTTTACTTTGGACAGTTAGTATATACTTCTAATAGTTTTGCCTTTCTGTAGTAGGTATGTACTTCTAACAGTTTTGTATGCCTTTCTCATACTTCTAACAGTTTGCCTTTCTGTAGTAGGTATGTACTTCTAACAGTTTTGTATGCCTTTCTCATACTTCTAACAGTTTGCCTTTCTGTAGTAGGTATGTACTTCTAACAGTTTTGTGTTTGTGTAGTGTAGCTATATAGTAGTCTTGTATGCCTGTCCTGTGCAGGGTAATCTGTCCACAAAGATCAGGGGAGTGGTTCAAATACTGCAGACCATCCGGAGCGAATCAGCCACAGCCAAGACGCTTGTTTTCTCCTATGTGAGTGTTCTACCTCTCTCCCTTGTTCCTACCCTTTCTTTGACACATAGTATGTCTCCCTCCTCCCCTTTATCTTAACTGCACATAGCTTTTCTGTATGCACCTGTATATACCTTAAAGAGTGAATATGACTGCTCAACTTTACGTCTCTCTCCCTCGGTCCTTCTTTTCTTTGACACATAATATCTCCCTCCTCATATACAAGCTTTTCTGCATGTATGTACGTACCTTTCTATATGATGTTTTTGTACAGTGGGTGGAGACTCTGGACCTAGTTTCATCATCACTTACAGAGTACGACATTGCTCACTGCTTTCTCAAGACTCCCAAGACATTTCAGGTCTGTATGCAGTTGCTATGATGTATATACTTAGTACAAGCATAAGGCTGGGTTTACAATAATGTCACATTGCCTCTGCCACTTTGCTGCATCGCGAGAATAGAATCTATTTTTACACTTCGCAGCACCACGCAACGCTGCACATCGGATGGGAAATGCAACATAATATTGTGAACCAATCGAGCCTAACATTGTACACACTGCTTCTTTGGAAGAATGCCAAGCATTTCCACTAGTATATGTTGCTGTGTAAACACTGCTTGCTTTGGTTTTGTGTCACAGGATAATTTATCCGAGTTTAAGAAGAGCACAGACATGAATGTGTTGCTGATGCCGCTGCACTCTGGCTCAAAGGGGTTAAACATAGTGGAGGCGACCCACGTCATCCTAGTGGAGCCGGGGTTAAATGTCGGAGCTGAGCTACAGGCCATTGGCCGAGTACACAGAATGGGCCAGACAAAGTGAGTTAGCATAAGTATACTGTATTGTTCTATTCATAATCCGCTAAAAACCTGCTGTGAGTAATGCTAGGTACCCAGTTAACCCACCTATGTAACAACCACCTTCTCATCAGTAACACAAAGGCTCAGACCCTTCTCCAGCATACATGATAGGTGTTAATGCAATTGAGGAACAGAAAGTTCTGGCCTACCTGAACACCTGACCCTTCAGCTATATCACATGATTACACTGTTAAGCCAGTGCATATGACTTCATCGCAACTTCAATAAAAAGCAGTGCTGATTGTGCAGACTCACCCACGCGATACACACACTACACACCTCAGTAAGAGCAAGTTATGCAGTTCCTGCGCGTATGGTATACTGTAGGGAGGGGTGGGCAGGCCGTGTGTTATGATAGAGATGAGTCTGGCAGGCCAACTCTATCCACAAACACATAGTATTATTCAGGTAAGGTCGCTGACTTGTTGTGGTCTTAGAAGATTTGAAATAAAAGGTGTTGTAGAGTGTCAAACCGGCGAGTCGAGAAGTAGTGGTTAGTTGACGGGTTGATCCGAACGAGGAGTTGAATATTAGGACTGGGCGTATTGGAGAAGACCTGTGAGTGAAACAAAGATTAATGCAGGAGGGAAGAGATAAATAATGTGCGATTGTAGATGGTTCCTGTTGTCCAGACCGCTCAGCCTCCTGCCCAGAGTAAACACCGACATTTCTATTGGAAGTGTACAGCCTCCCAGCGTTTTGATGGCCAGGGCTCATTGATTAACATGAAAAGCACTGAAGTGCAAACCCTCGGCGTTCTGTGACGCGCACGCGTAAGTAAACGCCATGCGCCGTACATACTAACTGCTGGGCTGGTTCATTAGTTTTAGCTGTTACCCGGGTCTCTTGGCAGCGTGCGCGCAGAGTCTGAGCTGACGCGGGTAGACTACACTACTAGATAGCATGCGAGAGCGATACAACGCCATGCGTTGCTCATCTTCTGGTGCCATCCGAGGTACGCAAGCACGCGGATCCATCATCGCCGTAGTAAAAAGCGTTGTGTATTTGCATATTGGCTTTTTCGCGCTCTACTCTGCAACGGCGCGTTTTTCAGCGAAAACCCCACATATTTTCTTAACCTCCATTGCCCGATTCAGAGGTTTTATCCCTTTTTGAGACGAACGAACACTCGAGAAGTGAGATGACGTAACAACCAAAACAGACAGCAGACAGACAGACAAACCAAACACCGTAACCCTCGCTGCGCATGCGCGCCGAGGGTTAATAACAAGGACCTGTAACTCAATAAGGTAAGTGTGTACAGGTTCTGCTGAATGGAGAATTTAATGCTTGCATGTGTACAGACAACTCCTTCCATCCCTCCCACCACACGCAGCGTGACAGACACGGCAAAGTATAATCAGTTCAAATGTTCTAAAAGATGTAGATATTAGACTAATTTCTTCCCTCTCCCTCCTCTACCGGCAAGACAACTACAGTGGCACAAAGCGATACAACTGTCATCGCGAGGGACTCAGTGGAAGAGAATATTCACCATCTCCTCAGCTCCTCCCACAGCCACAGCAATCCCACACTCGGTATAATTATAATTCAATTAATGTGTCATGCGTGATTGTGCAAGCACAGGTCAGGCAATCTTACGTGGGTGGGTAGGGAACAGTGTACAGTATCGGTAATTCAATTAATGTGTCCTGCGTGATTGTGCAAGCACAGGTCAGGCAATCTTACGTGCATGGGTGGGGAACAGCATGCACAAGGTATTTTACATACACTGGCAAACCCCCTCCTCGGTCCCCCCGTAACCTGAATCACTCAACTCGTCTGTTGTTTCCACCAGGCAAGAGGGGGAGAGTGCGTTGACTCTGAGAGAACTGGAGGCACTTTTCAACTGACAATGACCACCACCTACATATTATGTATGGAAGCCATGCACCACTATGTATCTGAGTCTGAGAGATATAGTACATGCATAATTATTTGCCACATGCTCACAGTGTAAGTATAGGGATATTTCATGTACCGTATAAAACTGAGTCAAAACCATAGTGTGAGGCACCTTCTTGTATTCACCGCACCAATCACTTATTATTTGTACTCCATGATCAAACTTATCCAGCATCACTTTATACGAATTATTAATATTATTTCTGTATTGCTATGCTACTATATACAATACGGCACAAATAAACCACGACAAAAAAGAAAATCTGGGGAATATTGTACGTATACTGTGCAGCTAAAAATAACTTGATATTATTCCACACCACTCTCTACAACACAGTGCTTTAAGTTGATCGGGTTGCAGCTCTTACACCGTCATAATATCTGTTTAGTATAGTTGGATTAATGACCCTTCAAATTACACTCTAATCTCTTGCCTGTGAGGCAACTGGGAATTGGTGTGGGGACGACAGTACCAGCCCTTTGTCTCCTTCCTTTGTCTGTTTCTCTCACCCCCACACCTGTGTTTGGATGTAGCCTCTGGGTCAGGACATTTCATTGCATGGAGGAGTTGTACATTATCATACGTAGTATGTGCATTGTCAACCTGCTGAGTTGCACTACTGTGTGTATAGATAGCATAGTGCAGTACAATTTCCAGATTCGTATAATGGATGTGTTTTTCTTGCACAGACTTGTCATCTGTGAATTGAAAGAAAAACACAATTATACGAATATGTACAATTTCATACATGTGTTTTGTATAATTACTGCACTATGCTATGTATACAAATAGTAGTGCAACTCAGCAGGTGTGCAATGCACATACTACTACGTATGCCAAGGTCTATATTATAGTAGTCTATTGCCTATAATAGGCAATAGGCAATAGCTGGACTAGACCTTGGCTCCTTCCTTCGTCCTCACAATAACTGTTGGGGCTAACCTGAGGTCTCTCTCTGTGATTCCTCCCTTTGAATGTTCCCAGGCACATGTTGTACACTCACTGCAACTAGCTCTGCTGAACCATAGTAACCTTCCAGTGTCTCCTGTGTGCCTGTTGATAGAGTTTTACAGAGCTGTCTCAGACTGAGGCCATCCATAGAGTGGCTTTACCATGTCTTGACCTTAGGTACCACTTCACTAGAGCCCAAGCCAGCAGCATGAACAAGAGCAAGACAAATAGACAGAGCTGTAGGCAAAATACTGAAGCTAGTGACATTGTTCTGGTCCCAGCAGCAACTGAAGATTGCCTGTTGTAAGTGGCTACTTATACCTATATAGTGTGTTCACTCATGCATGATTCCTGAGGTGATTTGAGGCCTAAAGCAAAGAGCCAGCTAGAGCAAACACTTGTGGGATATGGTGTGTAACTAATTGAATACCCCACTATTCTTCAGTCATAGCCAGCACTGCATTACATTGCTGAGAGCTATATTGTACCTTAGAGCACTTTAGTTGCCACTGCCAAGATGTAAGTCTCCGAGACATACGACATATGGATATGGTACATCACAAGACATTGATTAATACAAACTCTCCAGACATGAGTGTGCTTTTCATCATCGTACTGCATTCCACTTTGTGTGAAATCTGTAAGGTGGTGTACACAAGCCTTTCAACTAGGTATATATCAGTGAGCTCTCCCTCCCCACTACAACAGCTGCACGCCGTCTCCTTCCTTCATCTGTCTCTCTTACTCTTGCATAATACAGTGTTTGGCTTGAAGCTACAGTGTGTATATGCAAAAGGTAGGAGTATATACAACTCATGTAGAGACTCCCACAAATGCTTGCATAACCACTCAGGCTACATTACGAACGTGTACCTAAGGGGTCTCCCCGGGGATGTTCCCGGGGTGCGGCCCGTACACACGTACCAAACACTTGCATAACCAAGGCTACATTACGAACGTATACCTAAGGGGTCTCCCCGGGGATGTTCCCGTGGTGCGGCCCGTACACACGTACCAAACACAATGATGAAATAACCTTCCATTTGTCTATTGTTGTCCTACTAACAATGCTCCGAATAAAGTATGAGTACTCTAGAGGGTTAAGTCACGTGCAGGAGAGTACACACTCTAGAGGATTTGCATTCTTACATTTAAGGGAGGCATTGAGCCCAGTCGGTCCCAGTGGTATATACGTATCTGACAGTAATAATGTAGCTGAGTTTCTTGCCGTATCGTGGCTGCAGGCATTTTTCCCATTGTTATGACCACCCATCTTATGAGGACTAGTGACAGGAGGAGTGATAGAGACAACAGCAAAAACTGAAACAATACTCCAGCCACAATTTGCAGCAGCAATAGCTTGTGTTTCACCGATCATTCACGGATCATTGAGTTCGACAATTGACCATGATCATCACATAAACATGTGTGGTAGCCCTAGCCCTAGCCCATTCTGTTACCAGTTTTGCAGGCCCCTGTGCGCATTGCGGGTCAGCACTATCTCTATGTGTACAGTTTTCCAATGCAGTATACGCAGTATCTGCGAAAACAAAATGATCTATGATCTGGTATTATCTCATCTGCAGATCATTTTAGCAATTGTGGAGAGATGGTAGAAACAATGTAGAGAAAAATCTATATCAACAATGACCATGCTGCCTACTACAGGTGATCATGATGTAATGTGAATAAAACACATGAAAACTTGTACAGATTGACTAACTGCTGATGCAGTTCTCATGAAGAGCTTGGAGTGGTTGTGCAAAATCCTGTGGCAATGGCTGGAGTATGGGGGTGACCCTCTTACTAAACATAATCAGAGTTGGGGGTCAGGTCATTGGGTGAGAGGTGAAAAGTGTTTAATCTGCAGGACACCCAGCCCAGCAGCATGCACTGGCACCGAACACTAGCACAATGACTAGGGAGATACATGAGAGGACCATGGCTGTCGTCTCCCTCCAGTCTTCATGGTAGTTCAACCCATTCAGAATCACCGCTAGACACAGCGAGAAGGCCGCACCACACCACACTAGGAAGGCAAATGTGAGGGCCAAGAACAGGACGCAGTTTGTTGTCTCCCCACAACTTCTTCTGGACAGCTTGCACAGGTGGAGTAGCAGTCTGAGTATGAGGCAAGCCCCCAGGACTAATTCTGCCGTTCCCCCTCCCACGTAGGCCCCTCCCGCCACGTGGGCACCCGAGCTAAAGTCGGCTATGATTGCTCCCAGAATCACGATGCAGATCCCGAGCAAAGGGAATGCGAAGGCGCAGAGGAGGGTGGTAAAGGTGTAGCACTTGTCCACGACGCCCGATCGACGCACTCCGGATAGGGACACCCGACTGGAGATGCTCGCTCCGCTGAGTAATGCCTTCCTCTCCTCTTCTCTTTGCATCTTCTCCAACACAGCAGAGTCGTTCGTAGCCATGATCCGGAAAGGCGTATGGGGGTTGGGTTCCGCGTTCTGCCAGCTCAGCAAACTACGCGACCCGCCCACTCGCAGCTGTCGAGTCAGCAAAAATCGACGAGACTACACGGCGGATCATGGCCGGCCTATGGCGTGTAATCAGTGTCAAAAATAGTACGCACGCGCGGTCGATGAGGTAGGTCTACTTTATTGAGAGGTCGGTCTATTTCACTAGGAGGTCGGTTCGTATATAGGCAAAAATAACTTGGTATTGCTTGCTGAACTGCTTTCCTCGTGTCAGGTGATTCTTGATCGCGCATGCGCAGAGGGACGCGGAGCATGCGCGTCGCATGCCAACAAGGACAACGGCGGGGTTGGAGTTCAACGTTCTGTCAGCTCAGCAAACGACGCGCCCCGCCCACCAGCTGTCGAGTCAGCAATGATCCAAGCTCATGGCTCCCCACTCCCACTGCGACGGTTGTCTTCTAGCAAGCTGCAGAGCCAGCAGCAGCAACGCCTGTCCCGTCCAGCCGTGCCCCGGAGGCTGCGGGGTCTCTCTCCACGGCTGCAAACTCGACGAGCACTCCAGCCACACCTGCCCCGCCGCCCTCATCCCGTGCACCAACGCCTGCTTTGGTTGCGAGACGGTGCTACCGCGAGCCAAACTCGGCAGCCACCTGGCTCACTGCCCGGCCAATGTCGCCCACTGTCACTTCTCGTACGACAGGGAAGTAGGAAAGGTTCGCTCCACGCCACAGACCGTTGACCCAAGGGACGCGGAAAGACAGTCTTATATCGACGAGAAGGCCTTGGGGGCAGACTTGGCACTAGCAGAAAAAGAGGACAGGTTTTACGGACGTCGCTCCAACGAAGATAAAGGGGAGCCCTTCCAATTTAGCCTGCATGCCCACCCGGGGAGCTCGCTCACCGAACCAGGCAGCAAGTCAACTGCTCGTAAACTGAATCTCCCACCCCGGGACAGAGTCTGTATAGCCGCCTCCGTCGAACGCTACGGCCTCAGGGGTATCTACACGCTCCACTACTACTGTTTCCCGTGCAACGAGATAGTGCGGAGAGACGAGTTCTCTACCCACTGGCGTGACTGCCACGTTGGCGTCCAGACCAGGCTCTCTCACATCGTGGAGCGCTGCCCCTTGAGAGACTATGGCTGTCAGTACGGAGTACTCCGTCTTACTCCAACTCCGAACGGAGCGTCACTGGACTACCTTTCAGAGGCCGATTGTGTCTCGGTGAAGTTTCCCGACCACACGACAAAGGACTGCGATAGTCAACCCTTGCCCGGTAGCTACGCCCAGCACATTCAGAAGCAACAAGAGCTGGCAATTTACGGCTACGGAGATGAGTCGGAGAGCTACGACGTTCTCAGCCAGCTGCCGGCTGAGATTCTGATGAAGATTTGTGGGTGTCTGGATTCCCTTGGTCTGTGGAACCTCTCACTGGTGAACCACTATCTTCGTAGCATCTGCTTCTATCTGGTAAAGAAGCGCGGGATTGTGTACCGTCGCTGGCAGAAGAACCAGGCCACAGGCAAATGGGAGCAGGGAGAAAAGGTATGAGTTTTTATGGATACATCTTGCCATACATGTGCGCTGTGTGTAGGCTGCTAAGGCTTGTTGTGGTGCTTCTATGTTGCATGCCACTAGTTTATAGTGCCACAGTGGTGTGATATTTGTGTCCACATTAACTATAGGGTTGAATTGTTATTTTTCCCTAGCGCTGGTCGTTTTCAAGAGTGTTTCGTGGTACTGGGTCATGGACCTTCACAGACGCCCCAGCCCTGTGTAGCCACGTATCCTCGTGTCCAGTCCTACACTCCCTGACAAATCCCTATGATCCCGACACCCGGTGGGACTGCCCAGTCTCGAGAAGCCCGGATCCCAAAATTCGAACTAAGTATACCAGTCCACCCTCTCCGTTCATGCATTTCACACAGGATATCACTGTAAGTGTGGACACTGTCATTTTAAGCCGGCCAGTAGATCACCATAATCTCTGATCATGATATAATAGTTATTAGTATTATTTAAGGCTTCCATAGTGTGTATGGTTAGCTATTCAAGTACAAATGAGGTTCTTGATCTGTTGTAGTTCAGTGATATCAGGGTGGCAAGGGGAGTGGTGGTACACTCTCATCAGTGGTAGAGCCTTCTCCACCACTTCAACTGCTCTCCCAAACTGTCCACTTTATATACAACATATAGGTAAGGGGCAAACTCACTCAATTGTTGCAGTGGTTACACCGTGAATATTGTGTGATGTCATTGATAAAATAGGGTCACCGTAACTATACACTTCAAACATTATCTGTAAAACACTCATGGAAACTTCTTTAGGATCTACTACGTATTAAGCTTGCTAATCCTTGTATATAGACGCAACTCACAAAAATGCTTCAATTTGCAGTGCTCCCACTGCTATATAAGTACTGTATTTACCTGTTGAAGAGGAGCTGTGCTAGTTTGTGTAGTTCAGTGGCCAGCTCGATGCTTTGGCTGCCATGAACTGCCTCCACAGCTCGGCAACTGGCTGCACAAAACTCTGCCGCCTTCCCAAACTCACCTGCAGTCACACACCAGATTACCGTTTCCCAAAATGAAGGACATTTCTATGCATTTCCTATGGTCTTGTAAACTTCCTGCACTTTCAAAATGCTCTTCAATGTTCGAAAATGTGCAGGTATATACAGTAATATGTGCCATTCACGGGCTCGTGTTTAAAGGTGGTAGTATGAAAGGACTACATAAAAATAAAAAAATTTTTATACCTAAACCTAATTCCATTCCTATACACTGTGCCCTAGCAGTTCCCTATATTTGCCTTTTATATACTGGAGTGGCTAGCTACTGACCTGTACTGGCGTGGGCTTCAGCCAGTGCATCGCAAGTCCTGGCCAACTGCATGTTGTGACTGTGCAGGACTCGAGACTGGAGCGAGTGACACTTGAGGAGCAGTGGGAGATCCAGTTGTCCATCAACTGAAAATGAAGCCCTCAACATCAGATGTTGACAGTAGGCCCGTGTAGTCCTTACCATTGGCTGTACTAAACATTCTTTCAGTTTCACCTCGTAACTGCATGTGAATGGGGAATTAAGCTCTGCAGTGCAAATCATACCTAATGCGACTATCCACGATATTTCTCTAAAACTTCCATTTCAGCATACAGGGGGCACTATGATAAATGTTACACACCTCTTGCATTCTCTCAATATCACTGCTCTCCAGTTGCGTGTGGCAGTCTCTACACTGCCACTGTGCGTCTGTCACAGCTCCACTGCAGACTGGACACCAGTATGCATCCATCACCGTCTCTCGATAGTCGAGACTCGCATCACTACTATTGATTGATTGTCACACTCTCTGGTGAGTTGAGCCAACTTACCCTGCACAAGCAGGGCAGGAACAATGGAAGAAGTACTTTGTTTGCAGCTCAGCCACTCGCTCTGCTCTCTTCATTCTGCCCAACTGAGGACCTGGGGAAATATCTCCACTAACGATGAGACAACATCATGCCCATCTCATACCATAGCAGTTGCAGGCCTCATCTCCATTCCTGATTGGTCTAGTGGCCACAGCCTCCACTTTACTCCCTTGAAACCTAGCACAACACACCACACAGTGAATATATATACTAGCATAGTGAAAAGAAGCAGGAAGCCAATAGTTGCCGTAATTTACGCATGAACATAACTGACATTTAGCAATCATTGCTGCAGCGTATGCATCTGTAACTGTTTATGCCACGTCTAAAGTTTCTGCATGAGCTGTATGCATTAACCTAACATTGACACTCAAAACAGGCTAAAACATAGAACCACTGTATGTCTATATAGATATGGACCTGAAGATTATGTTAGGCCAGCATGAATGATTGAAGAGACTGGCAGTAGGGAATACGGCAGATCCCAAGGTGGCCTCGTGGCTGGATTTAACACTCTCCCCTCTCCCTGCCACCTCACCAGCCTCCAGAACAGCAGTGACTCTGTGGGAGTTGCACCTCAACTGGAGGAGATGGTGGAGAAATAGACTCCTCAGGCCCCCACTGGTGACCTCTGGTGTACTGTGGTCGTGGGGGTCAGTGCCTTTAGAGTTGAGATATGCCTTTATTGTGTCCCCAAAGCACTCCATCATTGTTTCGGCCATCTGTAAGATTAGACTGCTACTGTAAAACAGAGATAATTTGGACACAAGCACCAATGTGTGTTTCATGCATGCAAAGTTTAAAGGCCATTATTGCGTGTGACGTGTGTGATATATACCTTTGAAAACATGGCTGTCTGTTGTTTGTCTGAAAATCTGTCCTTGTGTGAGACTAGGGAGAGCAGAGCTGCATACGGCTCCGCGGTGGAAAAGTGTTTCGAAGAATCTGTAATTGTACTATCCAGTCCTTTTGAGAGAACCCCTGCAATAAAGAGTTTTATTAAGCCCTGTTGTGGGACAGAGAGAAAGCAACCTTTCAGAACAGTGGCTGGAGCTGAGACCACCATCCGCAGAGCTACTCTCGTCATCCAGTCAGCCTGCAAGAGACACAACAGACTGGTAAACGAAGCAAGCCTACCTAGTTGCCTTGATTGCGCAATGACAAGCACCGAATATTCCGTAATAATGTTCTACCTGATTAACTAAACTAAACACTTGTCGCAATTGCTGTAGCCAAAAAAAGGGTTGCTATGTTATGAAGACAGACTGATAGAGTTCTAATTAGTGCATTTTCCTCTAACCTTGCCCCACATATTATCTGAGACTGGGCATTCAATCCAGTGATATTCCACCCACGCATCCTCCCTACATTCACCACTGCAGTAACCATCACCTGCACACCAACAGCACCTACACAAAAGACAGTTACAAACCCTTCACCACTGGATCTCAAAACCCAATGTATTGTGCACTCAAGAGGCATAAACCTCTTATGATGGCAGTATCTACAGAATTAGTGAGAGCAAAACCCATTAAGCTACACACAAAGGCACCACATACGGAATGAGTGAGCTGGTCTGTTCGAAACAGTGACTGCAGGTGGTCAAGTGGAGATCGAAGTTCAAAACAGCTGCAGAGGCCCTCTCAGACAACACTACTTCTCCCGCCACAATATCCATCGTTGCCTAGTAGAGAAAGAGGGGGAATCCCTTGTTATCCATAACCGATTTGGATCATAAAACACGTGCCCTTGAGTTGTAATGAGACATGAACTAACTCTGATGAAGCGGCCTTTACTGGGAGAGTAGTCACATTTGATCGCTCTCGATACGTAGGGCCAATGGTTACACTCAGATACAGTCTCTCCCATACTTTGATGTGACCTTGCTGCTTCGTATACAGCACAATGCCTTCCTTTAGATGGCTGACTGTGACTGAGGGAAAACTGGCTGTATAAAATCAGACAGACCGCTATAATATACCTCTGCTCATTATCTTGCAGCAGGTTCTCTACTTTCTTGCGGTGTGTTTTCAGCTCGGCTGCAAGTTGATCTACCAGATGCAGTATAATAGAGTGGACACTATAGCTATAATACTAAATTGTTTCTTTTCCTAACCTTCTGCTCTGCCGGTACAGACAGACCCCTCTGAAGCCCCTAATGCTAGAAGATAGGTACATATTATACTCTTAGGATAATATCAGCCTACAAAAGGGAATCTCAATGGTCTGTGTTAAGCCAGGACAATACACTAAAAGCAAGGAGGTGGAGGACATCATCATGTGCAACTTACCCCTCAGAGCTCCAGCCCTATCCCCCAGCTGAGCCAGGCAAAGCCCTCGCCGTCTATAGAGTTTGTACTGAGAGACGGTGGGGAACCCTAGGGAGAGGGCCAACTCAATGTCTGCCAAACATTCCTGCATTCAAAAAGTCGTTTCAGTTTCGGGTTTAATAACAACAAAAAAGCGAGGATGTGTAGTACATATCTTACACATATAGCTAGAGAGTGCGTGCTTTGAAGAGGTGTAAAAGTAAATCTATCGTACACACTTTAGGTTTGTTCATTTCGTATAGCACTGCTGAACGGTTCCCAATGCACACGGCCAGGAGAGAATAGTGTGCCTCATCAGTGTTCTGTTTGGTTGAGTAGAGACTAGTGGCAACATGTCTCTTTGGTGGCTCCACACATCTGAGCAGGTGAGATAGGATTCTCTGTCTTTCTCCACCAGGCCAGGGTGATGCAAATGCTGCCTGCAAAGAACGTAGTTGCATATGAGCAAGTGCACAAGCTCTGATCCTCAACTTCTGCGTAGCACTGTAGTGCCTCGGACAGTTCCCTCCTTCTAAAGTGGGAATTGCCCTGCTTCTTCCATTCTTCTGCCCTTTTCCCTGACTTGGAAGAATTTGGGAACGAGGCAGTTTTCTTCACACCAACGTCCATCGTTATACGCACGCGCGTTTTCAATAAGCGCATGCGCGATTGGCGAAGACGATCAGCAAGTCAACTTGGGCTCAGTCGGTCACGGTCGTGATGCCTCTCCGCAGGCTCTTTAGCTGTTGCTGCTCCTGTATGGGAGAGGAGGAGGACGAGGCGGGCTACAGGAACGAGTCGGACTATCTGCTGCCGGGGGGAGAGTGGGACCCTAGCCTGTCGTCCAGCGTCGTCAAACGCCGCTCTCGGCGTTCGCGCGGCCGGGACAGCGGTGGAGCCAGCGGCAGTGGGTCGTTTGCCGACAACGGAGCGGGTGGTGAAGATAGCGAGTCTCTCTACACTCCTCCGGAAGTTCCAGGAGCCACTTCGGTACCAAAGTTCCAGGACTTCAAGCTGCTGAAGACGGTGGGGAAGGGCGCTTTTGGAAAGGTATAGAGAGCCGACATGTGGGGAGTGGCTCGTTTCTTGCTCTCACACCACCAGCCCGTTCCTTCCTAAAAATCTCTACTGGCCTCAGGTGATGCTGTGCGTTCACAAACCGACCAGTGTCCTCTACGCCATGAAGGTGTCCCCAAGACCAAGATACGGACCCAAAAACAAACAAATCAGATTCTCTCTGAGCTGAACATTCTCAAGTAAGTAGTAGGAGATGTGTATCAAGATACACATAGAAACTTCCCCTTGCATGGTTCAGAGGCCCATTACCCCACACTATATACTATACACCAACATCCCAGGAAGCACTATCTATTGGGCTCAGCTAATAAGCACGACATATATGAACCTCTTACTACTATTCTCCCTGCTACACTACCACACTGACCTACTCCCAGTTTCTCAACTTCATGTGAATGTGCATAGCCCAGTCGTGATAGTGCCAAGTAAAAAGTGGGAGGGGCTGGTTGATCAGCAGCACAGTATATTATTGTGTGGAGCACCGTTTACACAATGTATATACCTTCTGTTTTTCTGCCCCCTCCCTCCCTCCCTCCCCCCCTCAGGAGAATACAGCACCCATTCTGTGTTGCTTTGAAGGTGAGCGTATGCAGTGTGTGGATGTGCAACAGTGTATGTACCATCACCTTTCAATGTTAATGTTTGTGAATCAGATGCAAGTTGGCAAAGGCTTTCTAAGTAGGTATGACTGTTTGTGACCTTAGGGACGTATGTACAGAACATTTATGGTCCGTTGTGTGTATGCTGTAATGTATGAAGTATGTATGTTTCTCTCTATTCAGTCAACATTTCAAGACAAGAACTTTCTCTTCTACATCTTCTGTTTTGCAGCCGGAGGCATGCTGTTCTACCATCTCGTAAGATGCCATATACACGGTGTCATGTGCATGTAGTACGTAACGGTACTGGCTCATTAATTTCAACAGTCCTTCTATGGACGTGCCCCTAATTTGAATGCTTATCGGGTTGAGTGCTGTTGTAACAGGTGTTTCGTATGTCTTGGAGCATGTAGTGTTGATTTTCACTATGAGAGCAATCTTGAACCTCGTCTCTCTTAATGCCTGTGTGTGTGTGCAGAGGCAGGAGGGTAAGTTCACGGAGCCGAGGGCTAGGTTCTACCTGGGAGAGATTGTGCTGGCTCTCAACTATCTCCACGGATTCAGCATCATCTTCAGGTGAAAAAATAAATTTCAGGTCTTCCCCACTGCATGTGTATGCTAATAATATGGGTCAAGGCTGGGTGTTATACCTATGCATATGGAAATCTGTTGCCAAATGTTTAGTTTAGGCAACTTAGAAGTAGAGCTTCTCTTCTTCATTTGGTGTGCACTGGTTTCTGTTTCAAGATTACATAGAAACCTTCTTGTCCAGTTATGGGACCCCTGGCTGCCCACAAAACCTTCTCAAATTTTATCTCCTCGTACGTACATACGTATTTTGCTCTGTACCTACAGAGATCTAAAGCCCGAGAACTGTATGCTGTCGGAGCAGGGGCACGTTATTCTGACTGACTTTGGTAGTGCCAAGAGTCTTGAAATGAGAGAGAGGGCCAACACTCTGGCTGGCACACCGCAGTACATGGCCCCCGAGGTGCTGAGAGGGGGAACCCTATAGTTTCTCTGCCGATTGGTGGAGCTGTGGTGTGCTCCTCTACGAGATGCTCACTGGAAAAGTACACATGGGTCTCTCTCTTTATAAGAGTGTGCTGTTTAATTCTCATGCAAGGCTATTTATAGAGCAGCGTGCTATAGAAAGGATGGGATCTATTAATGATTTGTACTGCTATTGTATAGCTTGAGAGTTACTGAAAATGTGGCCTAAATTTCTTGTACTTTTAGCAAGAGAGTAGGGGGGAGGAGAGACCAACCAATCGTGCTGAATACTTTAACTGTAGCTGGAGTGTGCAGTGCAAACAGTCACATGTGCACATTGTATAGCTTGAGAGTTACTGAAAATAGGTGGCCTAAATTTCTTGTACTTTTAGCAAGAGAGTAGGGGGGAGGAGAGACCAACCAATCGTGCTGAATACTTTAACTGTAGCTGGAGTGTGCAGTGCAAACATTCACATGTGCACATTGTATAGCTTGAGAGTTACTGAAAATGGATGGCCTAAATTTCTTGTACTTTTAGCAAGAGAGTAGGGGGGGAGGAGAGACCAACCAATCGTGCTGAATACTTTAACTGTAGCTGGAGTGTGCAGTGCAAACATTCACATGTTCACATTGTATAGCTTGAGAGTTACTGAAAATAGGTGGCCTAAATTTCTTGTACTTTTAGCAAGAGAGTAGGGGGGAGGAGAGACCAACCAATCGTGCTGAATACTTTAACTGTAGCTGGAGTGTGCAGTGCAAACATTCACATGTGCACATTGTATAGCTTGAGAGTTACTGAAAATAGGTGGCCTAAATTTCTTGTACTTTTAGCAAGAGAGTAGGGGGGAGGAGAGACCAACCAATCGTGCTGAATACTTTAACTGTAGCTGGAGTGTGCAGTGCAAACATTCACATGTGCACATCTTCACTACGGCACGCCCACCCCTCCCTCCCTCCCTCCTTCCCTCCCTCCCTCACAGACTCCCTTCAACTCGGCCGACAGAGGAGACCTGTACAAGATGGTGCTGAGGGGAGACTACAGAGTCCCCAACTTCGTCTCACCCAGAGCTCGCTCCCTTATCTACAAGGTGGGTTCCAGGGTCTGTTATTACTATAGGATTTCTAGTGCACGCGTTGGCACCAAGGGACCAGCTGTACAAAACTGCCAACAGCTGAGCACACGTAATGCAATGTACTGGACTTCTTTTATGGTGTGTGGGTTGTGACGTGTACTTGGGGTTTAGTATAGTGAAAGACATACACAGCAACGGGGAAATGTTGTAAAGTCACTAGAAATAACATTCGTAGAAAATTCTGTGACGTGTGGGCGGAGCATCTCTAATATGTTGCATAACACACCATAAAACTATAGGCTGCAAAGGCATTGTTGTACATAGTCTAATATTACCTGCACATGTACTGTGGATATAGTACACCATGTGCAATATAGTATGGTATGTAGTCCTGACTCCGCCCACCCGTCCACTGACAGATGATCAACAGAGACCCAGAGTTCAGACTGGGCTGCAGCAGTGCTGCCAACCGCGACCAGGCCGTGAGCGAGATCAAGGACCACGCCTTCTTCTCCAACACTCCCATGGACCCTGACGAAGAGGTGAGTCCCATTATCACTCCAACCTCTCCTCTTTTCCACATATCTCGCTCCCACCTTTGCCTTTTCCACACATCTCACTCCTGCCTTTTCCACACATCTCGCTCCTGCCTTTTCCATATATATCTCGATCCCACCTTTTGCCTTTTCTGCTCCTGCCTTTTTCATATATGTCGCTCCCACCTTTTGCCTTTTCCACACATCTCGCTCCTGCCTTTCATCTTTTCCCTCCCACCTCGCAGCAATTTGCTTTTCATTGTCTTACGTGGTTAGGTAGGCATGTAGTCATGAAGGTTTAAGCCCTCTTGTCATGCAGTCACGTATGAGGATTATTTCACTGCACTCTCCAGCCATAGTCGATATAATAGAGATGGTTGGTTGTCCTGTCCTTCTTCCCACTTGCTTACAAAAAGTACGAAGGTTTTAGCCCTCTTTTCATGCAGTCACTTATGAGGATTATTTCACTGCACTCTCCAGCCATAGTTGATATAATAAAAATGGTTGGTTGTCCTGTCCTTCTTCCCACTTGCTTACAAAAAGTACGAAGGTTTTAGCCTTCTTTTCATGCAGTCGCCACTTCTGAGGATTAAAGTGGATGTACTTGCCATACATTTAGTTTACCTCTCGGCATACAATGACACAGATGTTCTATTCGACGGAGGAGGCAGAGCGAGAGCGTCACCGACAGGCCCTGGCCAGAGCGAGACGGAGTCGAGAGAGAGATCTCTACGGCAGTGGGTCCATCGTTGGAGCGGCAAGCTCTGTGCTCAGGAGCCTCTCAAGTAAGACGAGTGGTTTACTCATACAGTGGAACATTACTATATATATATACGTTAATGCGAATGTAAAGCTATAAGGCCTAAATTTATAATTCTTGCACTGAGCTCTATTAGTGACATTTCTAAATTTAGCTGTTATGTATACTGCCACATTTGCTTGCGTTTTTACACATCTACATCATAATGGGTACCTGGTTGTATGTGCTCAGCAGTCAAGGGTTCCATTACGTCAATCACATGGATCATGTGAAATTTTAACTTACTTATCCTGCATCAGCATTATTATAGTGACCAATACTCTGGTATGTATGTAGTGTGTATATTGCGTGTGTGTCTGTGTCTGTGCAGTAAGACGTATAAGTGGTTCAGGGACGTGCCAAGGAGCTGCTTGTGAGTGGAACTGGGAGGACCTGGAGAACATGAAAGTCACTCCACCTTTCAAGCCACTGCTTGTGAGCACACTAGCTAGTCTCTCTCTCTCTCTTTCTCATTTACTCCCTCTATCTTAGTATAATAAGAACGTGGGGAGAATGACAAGAATTTATATGTTGACTGTAGCTGCAGTGAAAAGTGAGGTGGCCTAAACTTCTCATACTTTTAGCAAATGATGTGGGGGGGGTAGTGCAAATAGGGAAACTAAGGTGGCCTAAACTTCTTGTACTTTTTATAAGGGGGGGGGAAGTTCAAGCCAACCAATTATCCTAGATGCCTCTACTATAGCTGGAGATTGCAGTGCAAATAGGGAAACTAAGGTGGCCTAAACTTCTTGTACTTGAACGGAAGGACAAGCAAACAAATCACCCTCAATACATTGACTACAACTGTAAAGTGCAGTGCTTATACATTTTTTCTCTCCTCACTGGCTGGTTGAAGAGAGGACCAACTGACTTACGGAACTTTGACCCCATCATCACGTGTGTCCCTGCAACTATAACGGAGCTGCCCACGTCACCCGACCGACAGTTTCACATCGACGGATTCGACTATACCACTGGCAACGGACAGTCTGCTAGTGGTGGTGGTGGTGGTATGAATGGTACCCCGGGGGGCGAGAGTGAGGGACCAAACGGCGTGGCCAGGGGTGGGGGTAAGGAGGACAGTGGTACCACTACTAAACCACAGAGAGATGATGACACGTGATTGTCTCACTTTTTAACAATTTTTATTGTTTTTTAAATGCAATTTTATAACATAAAATTGACTTTACAACAGAGTATTACTCTCATAGAAGAAGGGGCTGGGTCTTTGTAAGAGAGTTGGAACATGGAGTACTGAGGATCATCAGTGACTTCTCTCACGACCTCCAGAAAATCTGGGAGCTTCAAATCACCTCCCTCTTTAGTTGTGTATGTCTCCAACAGTAAAAACCTACAGGGAAAAGATGCCACTGGCTTTACATTCCCAAGAACTGAAAGCATTAAAGTCCCATTTGTTCTCCTCGTGTAATAAGAGGGAAATACTAGCTAAGCTAGAAAATAACCCTAAAAGGAAAATAGTGTGGCCTAAAATTTCAGTGCAAATGATAGCCTGAAAATAGTCTATATTTCTTGTACTTTTGGCACGAAAGTGAAGGGAAGGACAAGGCAACTAATGGTCTTGAATACCCTAACTATAGCCGGAGAGTGCAGTGGAAATAAGCAAAAAGTAACGGGGAAATATGTGGCCTAACTTTCTGATACTTTATCAAGTGGGGGAATAGGTAAAATTAGCCTATTTAGTGGAATTTTTTGCCATCTAGTTGTGTGCTAGTTATGGTTGAAGGTAGCCCTACTCCCCAGTATTCTTTGGATACATCAATGGAGAGAAAGCTTACTCAAAAAGTAGGGTGGGTATCTCTGGCACCGTATAAACCTGCGATGCAAGAATAATTACACAATGAAGAAACATTCAATGATACGATGAAGTAATTGAGCTATAGCTACCTTGCCATCCGAGGCCTTCAAAGAATATCCTCAATCGAGAGAGACTGGTAGTCTTCCCGGCACAAGGACCTGCATAGAAAGTGCAAACCCTCGGCGAACCGCGCATGCGCGATACTGCTAATTGATGGGCTGGGCTATGTACTCGTGGGTCGTCTCCCGCAAGTATATAGCTCGCGGAGAGTCTGACACGGGCTAGCTACAGTAGTAGATAGCATGCGGGAGTCGATACATGCCATTCGTTGTGACTTCCTGAGCCCCCAAGGTACACAGAGCGAGCGTCGCGGTAAGTCAAGCCTTTTTCGCTTGTTTTCATCTCGAACGCAGTCGTTTCAGGAAAAACGCCCTTTTCTTTTTCAGGCTCGCATAGTTCTGAAGCCGCTGGTATCGGTAATAGGCCGCCTCGTAGCCTGTAGTGCCAGAATAAGCGTCGACATACGTATATACACACAGCCACAGCCAGACAAACCAACCCTCGCTGCGCATGCGCGCCGAGGCTAATTCTGATAAGTTTATGAGACTTTGAAGAGTTTGAATATATTTTACTTAACCACAGCTTTTGAAATGCTATCATGCTTCTACTTGTTCTCTTTTGGTTCCTACTCTTTCGCTCCCTCCTTCACCTTCCCCAGCCTGCTTCTTCCTTCTATAGACACTCAGAACTTACAATGTGGCTACTTTTCCCCAGTACAAGGTTTTCTCAGCTTCTCTCTCCATTTGGATACAACAGTCTTTATCGGTGACTGTACGATCTTTATGGCACATCTTGGGAAGGGGGCTCCAGTGGTACAGAGAGTGGCGGAGGTGAGCTCTGCGTTGTATCTGAAGGCACTCATAATGCCATTGAACTCAGCACCACTGTACGTAAAGAGACATATAATACACTCATACATCCACATAGAGAGACATAACACTATCACTCACATACATTCTCTAGTGCCAAGTAAAGTACTCACCATTATCCATCTGAGAATCCATCAATGAACCCATTAGAGCCAACACTCTAATATGGCCCTCTCCACTGGCCAAGGAATTTCAGCACTTCTATCACGTGTCCTAAGGGAATAAGTGTTCTTGTAATTTCAACTCTTTATCATGGTGAATGTCAGTGTACCAAGTTTCATTGTTAGAGGACCAACCACAAGGAATTTATAGGGACAAACACCATTTTTGCCTGGGGCTGTTTGTTGTTGTTTACAAGCTTGCAATTTCTGTTTCGATGAACATCAGTGTACCAAGTTTCATTGTTAGTGGACCAACCATTACCAAGTTAGAGGCACAAACACCATTTACACAAGTTTTTATTGCCTGAGGCTATTTGTTGTTGTTAAACTTGTAGTTTCTGTTTCGATGAACTCACAAGCCTGTGTTGTTCTGTAAGCTGTGAACAACCGAGACTGGAAACGCCCGCCACCGGTTAGCGCGGACATGTGGCAGAGCGTATAATTATTACGCCTCCCGCGGGGAAGGGGAAGGGGGGCGGGTCCGACGGCGTATAATATTAATATACGCTGCAACTCCCTCCCTCGTATAATATATTTTTCGCTACGCCGGCGACGACGGTCTTGAAAAGTGTCATGGAAAACATCAAGTACTGCAGTGGAAACGACTACTTCGACAAGTTTGATCCCAACATCTACCTACGGAGGCATGCCCATATTGACAAAAGTCAGCACATGCTCCGCTGCTTTCACGATGCATTTCAAACCATTCCTAAGGGAATAAGTGTTCTTGATTACAGTTCTGGACCGTCCGTCAGGGGGACGATTTCAGCAGCAACAAAGGCGTCAGAGATCGTTTTGTCTGACTATTCAGCAAGCAACTTTCAACTTGCTAAAGATTGGGTTGAAGATCAACCACACTCGTTCAACTGGAATCCTCATTTTAGTTTTGTCGTGAAAGATCTCGAAGGAGGAGACAACAATACAGTGTTGCAGAGGCAAAAAAGTGTTCGGGGTCTCATCAAAGGGTTCGCCAAATGCGATGTTACTCAAATTCAACCCCATTGAAGAGAAATACAACAGTTGTACGATGTTGTGATATCTTCATACGTGCTCGAGTCTGTTGCAACTAGCAACGAGAGTATGCAGTTTTAATGTCTCGATAACAAGTCTTTGTAAAACCAGGGGGATATTTTCTTCTTTACGGTGTCGAAGACCACCAACGTAATTATATCGTCGGTGAACCACACTTTTTCTTTCCCGTAGCGTCCTCTGTAACCGAGAATGCTCTGGAACAATGTGGATTTCAATTTTCTACCGATAAAAAGACTCAAAAGACTACTCATTGTGTGTTTTTCCTAGCAAAATATATTATTATACAGTTTGTTTTAATCTCAGCCATGCCATTGTATAGCTAGCTATCACGTGTTTGGTTGGCCTGTCTTCCTTAGACCCCATAGCTATTAGCTTAACTATACATATATTATATAGAAAATTCCACCCGAAGAAACCACTAGGGGGGCTCGCTCGCCGCGAAATATTTGGCCCTAAACCATGGCCCTAAATCATCAAAGCATTATTTGGCTCGCTCAGCGCATGCTATAAAGGAACCGCAGCGTGCGCCTGCATAGGCTCATGAACTGCAGAGTTCAGAATGGCTCTAGAGATTTTTGCCTTTCTCTTCGCGCTGTAAGCAATGTGTCGCAGCTTTGCAGATACCCCTGTAGCAAGACATGTCGGACTTCGAGCTGAGGGCTCTTACAGAGGAAGACGGAAATGTAGGAAGAACGTTTATACGTGGAGGAGAAGATGTTCTAATTGCTGCTCTGCTGTCCACGATCGCATTTTTTGTAGCATCGGCCTATCTATGGTCGTCCACGTTCTTCTCCATTGAGGTATACTGCATAATTACAGGAGAGTTGAGCTATCACTTATCTTGCAGGTGTTCCTACGTGAGTGCATGTAGTGGAATGGGGTTACTCCGTCCTCATGGAGTGGATTCACAGGATGGCGTTCCACATGAGTCTCATGCATGAAAGTCAGAGCTCGAAATAAGCGCGTCCCAACACGCTACGCGCTGTGGCCTGGTAGCACATAAGCATAGTCACTACTAGTACTTCGCGTGACTACACAGCGAGCGAAGCCACTAATAGAGGGCTACCAGGCCAGGCGCCTTTAGCCATCTGCGTATCTGTCTGCAAATAGTGGCTTAGCCTGGTCAATGCCTTTGCGAGAGTCGGTTGATTCATCGATCAGGGGTTCCCCGTCAGGGATGTCAGCATATTTTGAACCCGATAGACTCCTCAGCCGCTGAGATGGGTGAGCACTTCCTATCACCACTGCAGTAATTATAGGAGGCGCTCCACTCACATGCACATCATTGTTCTGCGTAACTATCTCAGTCATTGGATTCTTTGTGAGTCATGAATCACATCTTCTTTGATGACAGAGTCTGCATAATTACATTTCAGCCTTCAAAAGTGGCCCGGAAAGACTGATCCTCTGTATCCGAGACAGGGTCTGGTTGGAGGAAGCTTTTTTTTCTCATGCGTAAGACATCAAACACTTCATGCATTAAAAGTTCAGTGTGGGACATTGATTGTTAGGTTCCTGGCTTACATGCCTTCATCCACATCAGTTGTGGTGTTGGTATACCTCCGTTCTTCTGTCTGCTCTTCTCCTGAGCCGCGCCGCGCCACCCACCCGCCCCGCAACGCCTCGCTGTGAACGTGGGCCGCATGCGGTCAGCGCCTCGGGCTTTGATCAAGTCTGTGGAAAGACAGAGAGGGAAGTTCTCTTGAAGAGGGTAACAGAGAAGAGTTGGCTGGGCATGACTACCACGACCACCTTTGCTCTTATACAGTTTCTGCTTCCCATCTCCGTGTCGGAACACTCACAGTGAGTATAACTTACATAGAGTGGAACCATCCCTGATTTTCCACTAAACTGAGACAGGGACTGCGATTTGGAAGCAATATGCCTGGGGGATATCTGCTGGCCACCTCCACTTGGCAGCATACTTGCTGTTGTAGATGCACCTAATACCTACATGTTTATTTTGTCGCTCCGTTCTGAATCTGTGACACTGGAGGCTGTCTGGGTGCAGTGCTCCTTCTGGCATCGTCGATTATTCTCTGCTTGCTCCGTAACATTCCTGCTACTGAAAGAACCAATAGAAGAACTCTATTTGGTAAATGTTGATTATACACACTTGTGTAGGTACTTAACTCTCCAAGGTCCTTTCCAACTTTCAGATTGTCCTAAAGCTCTTCGTCCCCTT